CAAGTGTGAGTATTTTGTCTAGCCTCTGTTGCGAATTACATAATTTTTTAGCCTTGCGGCGAACGGACGTCATCTTTTCCTTGTCTTTATCGCAAGTGTGCGTCATTATTCTAGCCTTGTAACGAGTTACATGATTTTCTGGCCTTGGTGGTGAATTAACGTCATGTTTCCGGGCCTTTATCGCAATTGTACACAATTTCCTAACCTTTGTAACGAATTAGATGGGTTTTTTTTCTGGCCTTTTCGGCAAATGTAGGTCATTTCTTTAGACGCTATGCACCTCTATCATAATGGCCGCCATCTAATTAACATAAATTTTTAAAATTTAGAATTTTAGTCAAAGTAAACTTACAGCTGATAGGAACCTGTGCTAATAACAACATGTAAAAGTTGGAAATGGAAAATATTACATTCTGGTGAAGTTATAAGGATTTAAAATATATAAAGGCCTGGGCTGAAAATTACATACATTTCTTTGTATTTTCATTGCGCCATAACGTTGTTCGCATTTTATCCAGGGCTGTAAAACGTTCCAAAAATGTTTATTTTTCGTAGTTCATTCACATGACAGTGACAGTTTTCACATATTTCATATCCAGAAACAAATAGACAGACAGCCATTGGTTTAAAATTACATGCATTTCTTTGTATTTTTATTTCGCCGTAACTTTTTTCCTATTTTGTGCAGAGTTCTAAAACTTTCCAAAAACGTTTATTTCTGATAGTTCTTTGATGTTACAGTGAMAAAATATTCATATCTATCTTATTTTGGAAAAGCACAATTGCCGCCGTTATGATAAAGGTGTATGGCAATCGCACGTAATGGTCTAGCCTGTGTGACAAGTTCCATAATTTCTCTAGCTATTCGTGACGACTGTAGTTCATTTGTCTAGCCTGTGTGGCAAATACGCTTAGTTTGTCTATCATCAGTGCTGTGTAGGATTATATCAGCCCCTGTCGTAGACGGGTCCAATTGGCTAAGGAAAACGTAGGGGGGGCTACTAGCTTGTTAGGGGAGTACGGTCGGTAATTGTCTGACACCCGGCGTGATATTTCTAGGGAATGGAGGAACTCCGCCAGGAGTTGGCCAAGCTGAAGCAGTCAGTCACAGCCTCCAAGGTAGATCAGGCATTGGAGCTTGTTMGCGGCCTGGCAGGTCGGCCACGGGAATTGATCGATCCATACGCGTTGATTGCAGCGTTGGAGCAGTTAGCTGACAGTGCACGAGAAGCAGATCATGCTGATAGAAAGAGGTATGAGGCCGTCTTGAAGCACTGCAAACCGCTGGTGGGTTCTCCTAGCCTGGCCCAGGTAGTCATCCACTTGGTTGGGAATAAGGAAGATAAGGAGGTCTCAAGCCAGATCAGTAAGATCCTAAAGAACAGTCAGCCGCCGGCAATGAATTGGGGTAACCATKTTGGGCAACGTTGGTCTCCGTTCCCAGTCCAACCGTTGCGCATGGGGAATGGTCCACAACGTCGGGAACGGCTTCCACAATCGAGGCGCTGTTACAACTGTAATGGGTACGGGCACTTGAGCAGAAACTGCCCCAACCCGCGTCGGCCGAACCAGGGAAGGAACTGAACTGTATTGCTGGTAGCACGTGTACAATTGGATGCTTGATGTAGTAACTCACGTGTGGCACTTTAAAAATAAATTTACCATG